AAGCAAAACACACGAGGAGAATGAAAAACAAAAAAAATGAAAAAAAAAGAAAAAAAATACCTCAATTTGATGTGTAGCAATGGAAATCCGGAAGAATAATTGTTTTAGGGCCCCGAATTTATGTGATCAATAGACGAAATATGGAAGAAGTCAAGAAGAAATGAAAAAAACAAGAGTGAAATGGAAGAAGTTGCGCGAAAAAAATGAAACAGGACCTTTTAAAATTGACCTGTCGCTCGAGCGAGGCCTTAGCGAGATTCGGGCGACAAGCAAACTGCTTTTGTCATTCGAGCGAAGTCTAGGCGAAACTCGAGCGAGAAACCAAATGTCAAAAATAACACTAGAAATTTGAATTTTAAGAAACACGGCACAATGTTCAACAAATTACGAAATTTACCCTAAACCATGTATTTTCAAAAACAAGCGAACTACGTAATAGTGGAAAATAATCCCAAAAAAAACAAAAAAAAAATAGCATGGAACCAAGTATGCAATTGAAACCAACAATAAGCATAAAATCACAAACCCGACAACCAACACGTAGACAAATCGTAAGTCCACACATAGTTCAGAATCCTGTGGAGTAAAGTGTATACAGAACATCACTGTGAAACGTGCCACGTAGTCCATGCAAGTTAGACTCAAAATCTTAAATTAGTGAGAAAGGACACGTGAAAACAACCAGACAAAGATGAATGTCTACCAAGTGACAGTCAAATTCAATTCCACGAGGACCTATATCAATTATTATGATTGTCACAATTTTACTCCCCCTAACTGTATGATTCCATTTTTTTTAAATAAGAAAAACAAAAGAACTTAAGTGCAATGCAATCCTCATTAGGCAATATAAATGACCCCTGTAACAAACTTTGGGCCGGTGACTCCCAAGTCAGACGACCATAGGGCACCCGGTTAGAAACCCCTCAGGCTTAATTGTTCGAGTCAAGTAGGCCCCGAAGATAGTCATAAGTTCAACAAATAACAAAATAAAACTGGGGAAAGACAATATTGATTAGGTTACACTCGTCCCAGATCACGTCAAATGTACATACAACCCCAATCATAGAAGAACACCATCCCAAGTCTCACCCATGCGGTCAAGACTCACTTACAGGACTACAATGTGTGCTGTGTGAAAATGAATGACGAGCCATATACCCAGAACTCCACAGTCAAAAAATGAACAATGATGGAACCTCAGACTCGTACATATGAAGAAAAATAGAGTTTGATCTTTAATGCAAATGCCATAATCGTTACATAAAGGCCTAAAAAATTTTTTATATAGTTTTATTATTATTTTTTATTTATTTTTTTTATTTAAACACACGAATATAACACACAAAAGAAGACTAAACTTACAAAAAAATGCATCACACACTCACATGTGATGAATGCATGAACATACATGAATCCATGATCAGATAGGTGAGCAAACACCAACAGCCGTCCAAAGCGACTCAAACCTCAATCCGTCTAGTGGTTTCGTAAGTAGATCAGCCAATTGATTATCAGTAGAGACATGGTTGAGGGAGATTACATGTGATTCAACAAGCTCACGAATAAAATGATGTTGTATGTCTATATGTTTCGTTCGAGAGTGTTGAATGGGATTCTTAGAAATATTTATAGCACTTGTATTATCATAGAAAATAGTCATGGTCCCTTGACTGATCCCATAATCACTCAGCATCTGCTTCATCCAGAGAAGCTGAGTGCAGCAACTCCCTGCAGCTATGTATTCGGCCTCTGCCATGGATAGAGATATATAATTCTGTTTCTTACTTAACCAGGCTACGAGATTGCTACCCATGTAAAAATAACCCCCTGTCGTACTTTTCCTTTCATCTGCGTTCCCGGCCCAATCGGCGTCGGAGTAACCAGCCAAGTCAAGATTGGAATTCCTAGAATAGAATATCCCTAGATCAACTGTACCACTCACATATCTAATGATGCGTCTAACAGAGCTTAAGTGTGATTCTTTTGGATCTGCCTGAAATCGAGCACACACACCAACACTAAAAGCAATGTCAGGTCTAGTAGCTGTGAGATAAAGAAGACTACCTATCATGCTTCGATATAGGGAAGGATCTACACTCTTACCTGAAGGATCACGACCTAACTTCAAGCTAGTACTCATAGGTGTCCTAGTATGCTTCTTACTATCTAGCCCAAAGCACTTAACTAGATCCTTAGCATACTTAGACTGTGAAATGAACAGTCCATCCTCTGTCTGTCTGACCTGAAGTCCAAGGAAATAACTCAACTCCCCAACCATACTCATCTCAAATTCTTGCTTCAAACACTCAGCAAACTCATAAGCTAAAGACTCATGAGGAGAGCCAAAAATAATGTCATCGACATAAATCTGAGCAATGGTGATAGTTTCATCAACATGTCTAATAAATAAGGTCCTATCTGCACCACCTCGAGAGAATCCATGTTCTTCAAGGTATGATGTAAGTCTCTCATACCAAGCTCTAGGAGCTTGCTTTAGACCATAGAAGGCTTTGTGTAGTTTGTAGACATAGTGGGGAAATTTAGGATCTACAAATCCTTTTGGTTGTTCCGCATGGACTTCTTCTTGAAGAAGTCCATTCAAGAAGGCACTTTTAACGTCCATTTGATGCAACTTGAACCCTAAGATACAAGCAACAGCAAGCAGAATTCGAATAGACTCAAGTCGTGCAACAGGGGTAAAAGTCTCATCAAAATCAATTCCTTCAACTTGAGTATAACCCTGAGCAACTAATCTAGTCTTATTCTTAATTATAGTACCTTGGTCATCTGTCTTATTCTTAAAGATCCATTTAGTACCAATAACATTACAATTCTCAGGTCTGGGAACTAAGATCCACACATTGTTCCTAGCAAATTGATTGAGCTCTTCATGCATCGCATCCACCCAGCACTCATCACCAAGGGCCTCTTCAACTTTCTTAGGTTCTACCTGAGATACATAGCTAGTGTATGCTAGATTGTTTAGTACTCTCCTACGAAGCCTCATACCTTCATCAAGATCCCCAATGATATTGTCCTTAGGATGATTAGACTTAACCCTAGTCAATGGTTCCTTAGGATCTTTATCTCGATCTTGGGGAAGTGTTTTCTTTTCAGGTGTTTCAGGTTTCCCAAGAGATGATTCAGACACAGGTGGCTCAATAGGATCACTAGAACTTATAAGATCACCATCTCTATCACAATTTTCAACACTCTCCCCCTCACTTATAGCATCATCTATCACAACATTTACTGACTCCATCACCACACGAGTACGTAAGTTATACACCCTAAATGCTCGGCTATTTCTAGAGTACCCTAGGAAGATTCCTTCATCACTCTTCGATTCAAACTTACTCAAGTTCTCTCTATCACGCAAAATGTAGCACTTACTTCCAAATACTCGAAAGTACTTAACATTAGGCTTTTTACCCTTAAGTATTTCATATGGAGTCTGATCGGTCTTGGGTCTAAGGTAAACTCTATTAATTATGTGGCATGCGGTGTAAACAGCTTCTCCCCAAAAATGTAGGGCTAGTCCCTTGCCATGAAGCATGGCTCTAGCCATGTTCTGAAGAACCCGATTCTTCCTTTCAACCACCCCATTTTGTTGAGGAATGATAGGGGAAGAGAACTCATGCAATATCCCTTGATCCATACAGAAACTCTCAAGATTAAAATTCTCAAACTCTTTTCCATGGTCACTACGCATTCTAGACACTTTGAGATCCAGTTCATTGCTAAGCCATTTACACAAAGACTTTATGAGATCACATGCATCAGATTTTTCCCTAAGCAATTCTATCCATGTGAACCTCGAGAAGTTATCTACCACAAGTAGAATGTATTGCTTACCTCCTAAACTCTTAGTCCTAGATGGTCCCATTAAATCCATGTGTATCAATTCTAGGGGTCTTTTAGTCAGAATTTTAGAAGTCTTCTTATGGTTTTCCTTAAGTTGTTTACCTAGTTGACATGGTCCACACACAGCATTTTCACTAGGACCTATCTTAGGCAAACCATCTACCAACTCTTTCTTAGCTAGTTGTACTAGACTCTTATAGTTCAAGTGACCTAACCTTTTGTGCCAGAGTTCACTCACATCAATTTTAGCACTCCTACACACATAGTTAGAATTAGGCAAGACTCCATAACAATTATCAGTTGTTCTAACCCCTTCAAGAACCACCCCACCAGACGAATCATACACAGTACATCTCTTTTGCACAAAGCTCACCTTAAAATCTGCATCACAAATTTGACTAATACTTAACAAGTTAGATTTTAAACCATCCACATAAAGCACATTAGAGATCACAGGTAAGCCATGCATTTGTACAGTACCTTTGCCAAGAATAGGTGCAGAACCCCCATCTCCAAAGGTAACCATATCACTGTTACATTCGTCAAGAGTAGTGAATAAAGCTACAACACATATGCCTAGAACATGCACTATCTAGGTACCACATATTGTAATTTTGGGCTTTTAATGCAACATGAGCAACGAAACACTTTTCTTGACCTGAATGTCTAGCTAGATCGCCCTTTTTGACCCAAACTTTCTTAGATGATAAAGTACTCCTAGTAAGCTTAGTAAGCATCTCAGTCAAATGACTAACCTGATTAGACAGAAAGCTAACCTGACTAGGAATGTTCTGATTTCTACGCTCATTGCCTAACTTATAGCATCTAGGTCTAGTGTGTCCTAGAGCTCCACAGTGGTGACAGGTGGGAATGAACCTAGGCTCAAAGGTACGTGGCTGTGGGTATCTGGGTATGGAGTTCCTACGTGATTGATGACTCTATTCTCTCGGAACATTCTTACCCTTATTTGAACTACTAATAGCATTAGCTTTCTTAGAGGCAGAAACAAAAACTGTTTTAGAAGGTCCAGCAACATGTGTATTACCCTCAACATATCCTAGACCCTTCCTATCTCCTGTAGGCTTATTCATTCCCAAGATATTGTCCAATTTCTTAGTCCCACTCACGAAAGTCTAAAGATGAGCATTAGATTTCTCCAATTCACTAGTCAAAGTCTTAATCTTGTCCTCTAACTTCTCATTGACACACTTTAACTCACTACCACTCTTAAGAGAATCCTGAAAATTACCAGCAAGTTTCTCTTTTTCTCTTTCAAGTTCATCAACCTTTTTGAGTAGGACTTTATTGACCTTTTTGATTCTAAGACTCTCTTTAAATAAAAGTTGATAAGCTTCTTGTATGTCTATCTCATCCTCATCCTCACTACTAGAATTATCGTTTGGAAGTTCTTCCTCAACCTTGTCACTCTCCTTATCTGATTCACTCTTAACAGTCGATACAAATGCCATATAGTTTCCTTCGTCCTCACTACTAGAAGAATCATGTCTATCACTGGTCTCAGATTCATTATCTGTAAGTGAGACAACTAAGGCCTTACCTTTCCCTTTTCTTTGGTTCTTCTTATAACTAGGGCATTCATTCCAATAGTGACCTATACCTTGACACTCATGACACCTAACCAAACATGGTTTATCACTCGACCCTTTATTGTTAAACGTTTCAGTTTTTGCTTTTGTGAATCTGCTAGGGGCTCCACTCTTTTTATCTTGAGGTTTTCTCCTATTCTTGAGAACTTTTTGGAATTTCTTAACAAAGTATGCAATTTCCTCGTCCCTAAGTGACTCAGTATCAGAAGATTCATCTTCTTTGATGGATTTTAGGGCTATGGACTTTCCTTTCTTAGGTTGTGTAATAGTGAGTTCATACGTTTGCAATGATCCTACCAGTTCTTCAATTTTAACTTCATCTAGGTCCTTACTTTCCTCAATGGCAGTGACTTTAGGCCTAAATCTCTCGGGCAAGGACCTAAGCACTTTTCTCACAATTTTAGACTTGAGAATTTTCTCACCTAGATTGAAGCTAGAATTGACAATGTCATTCAATTTAGCATAGAATTCGTCAAATGTTTCATCATCCTTCATTCTCACTTCTTCAAACCTAGAAGTTAGCATTTGTAGCTTAGAATTCTTTACCGTTTTAGTTCCCTCATGTGTAGTTTCAAGAATGTCCCAAACCTCTATAGCAGTTTCACACATTGACACTCTCCTAAACTCTTCGGGAGACACGGCCATAAACAGGGCATGAAGACCCTTGCTGTTCCAATTACACTCAGCTATTTCATCTTTAGTCCACAGTGATATGTCGGTAAGGTTAACAGTTCCTGATACGATAGTAGAAGGAGGTTTCCAACCATTTTGCACACTTACCCATACATGCTCATCTAAAGACTTAAGAAACGTACGCATTCGAACCTTCCAATAGGCATAATTACTTCCGTCAAAATATGGAGGTACAGAAAGTGATTGGCTCATCTAGACAACTATGGGTCAGGACTCGAGATTTGGCTCTGATACCACTTGAAAAAGATATAGTTCGACCCAACCAACACCTAGAGGGGGGCGAATAGGTGTTTATGCGAAATTAAAACAATTAATTAACTTATGCAACAAGTCACATAAATTATGCATTGCCTAAATTCATTCACATACTTTATCTACCTAAATTGAATTACCAGTTGAAAAATAAATAACAAAAAGTAGTAAAAACACCACAAAATGTTGACGGAGAAAACCCAACTGGGTAAAAACTCCGGGCACAAGCCAGTAGAGATCCACTATCGAAGATATTGACTTACAGTACGCCAGACATAATTGAAACTAACAATCCTCTGACCTCCTTACTGTATCAACCAAAGCTCTCCTGGATTCTGCAGATCTGCACCAAAATCCTAGCCTTGAATATCTTCTACTTCTCGTGAATCATCAAGCACTCCAGCTCTTCAAGCAATTTCCTTCCCGGATCTTCAAACAGATGATCTTCTGGAAGTTAATATGGAGATTGAAGGGGTGTTTTTGGTTTTGTGATGGTTGATGTTTTTATTCAAAAATCATGACAATCAAAAGATGAGAAAGATCGACTGTTTGGCTCTTAATCCTTTGGAATTTAAAAGAGGTTCTTGTTTGAATATTTTCCAAAGGTGTATAATGAAAATCGGACGTTTTGTTTATATAGTAGGTCAAATTTGGAAATATGGAGCGTTAAAAATTTGCGAGACATTAAAATTACCAATGGCTAGATAACACCGTCGCTCGAGCGAGGTGCTAGCGAAACTCGAGTGACGCACCTTCGCTCGAGCGACTGCCCAGCGAAACTCCAGCGAGATCAGTTCTGCAATTTTGGCTCGAGCAAGGTCAGGGCGAAACTCTAGCGAAATCAACGCGCTGTTTGCATCTTCAAAGCATCCCACTTTACCCTAGACCTATGCTATGAAATTTATTAAATTGCAACTCTAGTCCCTGAACTATTAGACCTTTATAATTTAGTCCCTGACTTTACAAACATGACAAATAGGTCCTTTGGTCACAGATTGCCAATTACACATTTTCCTAACACTTATTATTAAAGTCATGCGAATATTTTGAACATTTAATAATTGAGTTTTATTACAATGTGCATATTAGAAACGATGACAATACTATTTTGAATGAATCTGATTGGCTTTTAGCTTTAATTTGACAAGTTTTTATGACACTACAAATATATTATCTGAAGTTTACTATCTCACTAGCTGTATGATACTCGAACGTTTTTATTTAATTCCAAAAATATTTCATAAATACAAAAATGATCTCGACTATAGTGCAATTATATGCTCTATGGAATTAAAGTTTAGAAAATATTTGGAAGACTACATGTATCATTGCCCCTCGATATACTTTATCAAGAACTAAATTTGTAATTGACCAAAATTCAACAACTTTAACTTTTAATACATCTATCAGTATAGAAATTTAGAACAAATTTTATGTGAAATGTATGAATTATATGCAGAAGAATGTGTACAAATATTAATCAAGTACCCTTTGCGCCTACTCCTTTCGTTGATATTGAAGAAGATGACACTAAAATATTAAATTTATTTGAAGGCATTAACACTTATAGATATGATACAAATGCAATATGTTCATTTAGTAATACTTTGTCTTTTGCATCTAACCAAACATCAGAGGCAAGTGTAAATACATTGCCTGGTGAATTAATCGATTACTTTATAATAATATGCTTACTAATAAAACAATTAAAAAAAATTCAAAAAGGTTATTGAATACTGGCGAAGGTACGAACGACAATAGCCAGCAGTTTCTACAATTGCAAAAGACTGACACTTCCAGTTAGCACTATAGCTTTGAAGTCTGCTTTTAGTGTAGGTAACAAGGTTTTGTCCAAGGTTAGGAGTAGAATGTAAGAAGATATTTTGAAATCATTAATGTGGGTGAAGGATTGTCAGGATGCTTATTTTTTAGTATAAGATAAATATGCCGAAATTGCATGTCGTCAGGTAAGTAATATTTAATTTATCCATATTAATCAAAATTTGTTATTTTATAATACTGCTTTTAATTTGCTTAAAAATATTGTATACGTTACAAGTTGTTCGTGGACAATTTTTAACTCCACCAATCTCAAATTCGGATAAAGGATGAGGGTTTATATTTTATTTATTTTAGAAATGAAAACAAAAAAAAAAAGAACCACAAGCCCAAGCTCGACTCACAGCTCACCTACAAGCCCAAGCTTGGCTCGTGGATTTTACGTTTTTTTTTCCTTCTCCCTTTATAAATACCAGAACTTAACCCATTTTTTCACACAATTCAACAACTCTCCCTAGTCTCTAAACGTGCTCTTCCAAAATTATCAACAATTAATACAATATATATTCATTTTTACAATTTCATCATCTTCAATTTCAATCGTTCAATTTCAATTGAATCAATGATTCAATTCTTACACTACAAATTCACAATCTTAAACACATTATAGTTCTTGATTTCTTTCCATACTATTTAGTCTTTACTCAACTCTTAGGTCTGAATCTATGTCGCATACGATAAATTGGGAGTTGAAAGATGTTTTAGATAACATATCTAAATCATATTTCAGTTTCCAATTTATTGTATGTCACAGCCCTAAGCCCACATGATATAGATTGGTAATTGATATTTAATTCAACCATATTAAACAGAATTTGTTATTTTATAATACTGGTTTTAATTTTTTTTTAAAAAATTGTACACGTTACAACTTGTTCGTGCATAATTTTTAACTCCGCCTACTCAAAATTTATGTAGCCGGTCCTAAACTCGGATGAAGGAAGAAGGTTTATATTTTATCTATTTTTTGTTAAAAAAATTAGTTTGTCCCTCAAGTAAAGTGCCGCACTAGCCGAGCTCATGGGTATAAGTGTCAAGCCAACTCCGCCCATTGCCATCCATAACTATAGGGCAATCAACAACATAGGTAAAGTATGGTCATCCTATACCTTAGGTAAATGATATGCCTGATTAACTACATGGATCATGTATATTTAGTAAAACAGATCTTAAAAGTGGATATTACCAAATTAAGATAGTAGAAGGAGATGAATGAAAAACTACTTTTAAGACTAAATTCATAGTAGTTTACTTTGATGATATTCTAGTGTATAGTAAGAACTTAGATGAGCATATAGAGTATTTGAGGTGTGTACTCATCGTCTTGAAGCAGGAACAATTTTATGCTAATTTTAAACAGTGTATATTTTGTATGAAAAAGGTTATTTTCCTTAGCTTTGTTGTTAGTTCAAAGCGCGTTGGAGTGAATGAGGAGAAAATCAAAGCCATCAAGGAGTGACCAATACCTAAAAGCATAACTGAGGTAGGAAGCTTTCATGGTTTAGCTAGCCTTTGTAAGCATTTTGTTAAAGATTACACTTATCACGCCACTCTTTGAGATTGTGGAAAAGAGAGTAGGATTCCATTGGGCCATTGAACAAGAATGCATTTTATACTATTAAGGATAGGTTGTGTTCTACACCTGTTTTAGCACTATCGGAATGTGATGCCTTAGGTATAGATATTGGAGCTATTTCAATGCAACATAGGATGATAATAGCTTATTTCAGTAAAAAAACTAATCAGGGCAAATTTAAATTACTGCATATATGACAAAGAGCTTTATGCACTTGTCAAGCCTTGGAAACATGGTAGCACTACCTATGGTCTAAGGAGTTTGTAATCCACACGAATCATGAGTTATTGAAATGTCTAAAGGACCAAGGTAAATTAAACAAAAGACATGCGAGGTAGATGGAGTTTATTGAGACCTTTATCTATATCTTCAATACAAACAAGGTAAAGATAACATAGTAATTGATGCATTAACAAGGAAGTGTATACTTCTTCTTTAAGTGTAAGGATGCTTAGGTTTGAATTTGTTAAGGACATGTATACTAATTATCCAGACTTTTCTAATATATATGTATATGTGATAAAGGTCAGTTGATAAATTTTATAAGCATGACGGATATTTTTTTTAGAAAAAATAGGTTATGTATTTCTAAATGTTATACGCGTGAATTGTTAGTACGTAAAGCACATAGTGAGGGTTTAATGGCGGCATTTAGGCATTACGAAGACCTTAGATATATTGTATAAACACTTTTATTAGCCTAAAATGAAGATAGATGTTAATCGCATTTATAGTAGATGCATTATATGTAAAAAGGCTAAGTTTAAGGTTTTGCCAGAATGTTTGTATACACATTTACCTATTCCTAGTGAACCTTGGGTTGATGTATCTATGGACTTTGTATTAAGATTTTCTTGAACTAAAAGGGGTAGGGATTCCATTTATGTAGTAGTGGGATAGGTTTAGTAAGATGGCATACTTTATTCCTTGTCATAAAATAGATGATGCCACGAACATGACTAGCTTATTCTTCAAGGAAATAGTGCAACTCCACAGGATACATAGGACATTGTGTTTGATAGAGATGTTAAACTCCCTAGTCATTTTTGGAGGTTTTGTGGAATAAGTTGGGAAGAAGAATGACCATTATGCTTCTCAATCTAATAGAGGAAGAAAGTGTGTTACATTTCACCCAGGTGATTGACCATTATGCTTCTCAATCTAATAGAGGAAGAAAGTGTGTTACATTTCACCCAGGTGATTAGATTTTGGTGCATTTGGGAAATTAGTATTTTTCGGCACGAAGGAGGTCAAAATTGTAACCGAAAGGAGATGGACCATTTCAAGTGCTTGAAAAGATCAATGACAATGCCTATAAATTGGATCTTCCAGGTGAATATAACATTTCTGCAGCTTTCGATGTTTCTGATCTTTCTCTATTTGATGCAAGTCAAGATTCGAGGACGAATAGTTTTGAAGAGGGAGGGAATAATGAGAACCATGGGATGAAGGCTAGCAAGGATCCATTGATTGTAGAAAAAGGACCAATGACGAGATCGCTAGTGAAGAAGATTAGCCATGGGAT